GAGAGAGAGAGAGAGAGAGAGAGAGAGAGAGAGAGAGAGAGAGAGAGAGAGAGAGAGAGAGAGAGAGAGAGAGAGAGAGAGAGAGAGAGAGAGAGAGAGAGAGAGAGACAGAGATAGAGTCATACAGCATTGATTCTGTTCCATAAAAATCCTAAATTGTTAATGAACCAGTTCTGGCAGTTTGATTAATTATGTCAAATTGTTTGCATGAATTATATTTAATAGATCGCAGAAAACGACGCTTTTCCTGTGGATAGCGAAAAGGTTATTGCATATGCAAGTAGATCATACCGTGCGAATGAAATGACATTTTATATTCCATTTTAGCAGGGAAAAACTTCATTAATCACTGACCTATTTATAAAATACAACTAAAAATGACTACATGTCCAAAACATTAAAAATAAGGAATTCCTTACAATGTTCATAATAAATTTTGTCGATGTTTAACATATCAATAAACTTCTTCTTCTTCGTCGTCGTCGTAGTCTTCTTCTTCTTCGTCGTCGTCTTCTTCTTCTTCGTCTTCTTCTTTGTCGTCATCATCATCATCATCATCTTCTTCTTCTTCTTCTTCTTCTTCTTCTTCTTCTTCTTCTTCTTCTTCTTATTATTATTATTATTATTATTATTATTATTATTATTATTATTATTATTATTATTATTATTATTATTATTATTATTATTATTATTATTATTATAGCCTTAAAATATAATATTTTATTCAATATCATTTGAAGAAAAATAATGACGCCGATAAAATAAAAATTTTGCACCGTATGTTTTATTAGGCATCAATGTTCAATTTAACATGATTGGTCCGATTTCGGCTGATTTAACGTCGTGAGCATTGTAACGACAGGTTTACATGAGTGGTCCGATTTCCGCTGGTTGATGTCATGAGCATCGCAACGTTAGGTTAATGTATACATCAAACTTCGAGACTTCCAGCTCAGTTTGATTACATTTTTTTTCTCCTCTGCAACAATTCTGTTTTTGAAGCTGTTTAGTCCTTTATTTAAGCACATACATGCAATATTTGGTCCTGTAGGTTTTGATTGTTTGCTGTGAGTAGATGTTTGTCGGAACATTTAAAAACGATATTGAAACATGTCTAAAATTGCATATCTTACATCGTTACTACATATCATCTTCAGTCATGGAATACTATGCGTTGACATTTATTGGGAGGGATTACATTTTAAAGAGTTTTGTCAAAATCCTTATAATATTGCATTTTAAGAACTTTGCTTTTAATCTGCGCCAAATAGCCATTAGTATGCTGTGGTGCCGTTAAACGGTATTCCATCCATCCATCCATCCATCCATCCATCCATCCATACATCCATACATCCATACATACATACATACATACATACATACATACATACATACATACATACATACATACTTCAACAAAGGATTTTAATCAGCAAACAATGCATAAAATGACAAAAATGGCATCCTTTTAAACTTTCAGCAAGTACCTGATTAGTGTAACCTTTATTAAATGCTTTATCAACTAAATAAATAAAAAATAAGTGCTTTATTGATTTCATTATACATCCGTGTTTCAATAAATAATTTGGCTGACGTCTAGCATGCGCACTCATGGCTGGATCTCAGTCCCTGATAACCACTCAGGCACACTATCATACCTGGTCCTCGGTTAATAATATTCAAGAATGCACACCATCATGCCTGGTCCTCAGTCAATAATATCCAAGAATGCACACTATCATGCCTGGTCCTCAGTTAATAATATCCAAGAATGCACACTATCATGCCTGGTCCTCGGTTAATAATATCCAAGAATGCACACTATCATGTCTGGTCCTCAGTCAATAATATCCAAGAATGCACACTATCATGCCTGGTCCTCAGTCAATAATATCCAAGAATGCACACTATCATGCCTGGTCCTCGGTTAATAATATCCAAGAATGCGCAGTATCATGCCCGGTCCTCAGTCAAAATATCCAAGAATGCGCACTATCAGGTCTGGACCTCAGTCAATATCATCCATGCATGCACACTATCAATATCCTGTTTAATTTTCCTATTTATCAATTTATCTACCTATTAAAATTACATCTATCTGTCTCTATGTCTTATCAACTTCCACTGTAACATTTTAATTGTTATTCATAGTAAATATTTTCCTTAATTATATAATCAGACTAGAATAGAAATTATAAAATGAATATTGTGCCTTCATCTCAATTGAAAGGAGACATCGAGCGTGGTCTAGTTGAGAGACTTGGAAGTAACAAATTAGTCTCCACTCTTCTACACCTTTGTTCTTCCTTACCCACAAAGAACGTTATTTGAATATAATTCATGATAATATAATTAAAAGTTTGATGATGTCTACAGAAAAAAGCATTCTAATTTGGAAATTAAAGTAATAAATTTCCTTTAGAATGAATAATTTACGCGAATGAAATTTTGAATTATAGCAGATACGTAATCTTTATTGAAATTGTGTAACAAACATCGAAAAATTTAATTCATAAGTTAACAATTTCCTCATTTTGACTGGTGCAAAAATAAAAAAGTCCTCTATCTTGCGATGTAATACATTTCGTCAAAATGTTTAAAATGCCCTCACGATGACTAAATTTTGATATCTGAGATATTCTTCTCTCGTACACATAAGTGATGAAAGAGAAACAAATAAACAGTTCATTAGCATTGTACTTTCTAAATCTAAAGTAATGCTGTGATCACCTCGAGCTAATTAAAACCCGATTAAAATAATGTTATGATCCAATTCAGCAAATTAGAACAAGACTCAAATAATGTTATGATCGAATGAAGCTAATTAAAACAAGTTTAAAATGGTGTTACAATCCTCTCGATCTAATTAAAACAAGTCTAAAATATTGTTATGGTCGAATTGAGCTAATTAAAACAAGTCTAAAATGATGTTACGATCCTCTCGATTTAATTAAAAAGTCTAAAACACTGTTATGATAGCCATCTGCTAAGAAGGAGAAAGAAAATATCGTATATTGATTCTTGCATATGTTTTAACCAGAACAGAAATTCAATTCGACAGCTCAAAAAAGTCACAAGAATTTCGGGTGGCTGTACGTTTGTAAGATATATTTTCATTTAGTTTCAAAGTTTTGCAAATTTAAAATACATAATGATGATAGATCTGGATTTCTGGAGAATTGTGAATAAAATAAATGTGCGATTAAAAAGCATTTATTCTAACAATCTGCAAATGGTACGCACCTTTGATTTAACGGTAAAATTGCTGCTCATATCTCAACTATATACAAATTATCCATTCCTTCACCAAACTTAATTTTTAATCTATCTTCGTATCCTGCCAACTTATATTATGGCATTTGAATTCATGGTGAAACTTTCCTAATCTTGTTAATAGACTTATTTAAAATAAATTATTAAATGCTTATAGTATGAAAGAACTGAATATAAGCTCTTTAGTGTTAAAAAGGATATTCACATGGCAGAAGGATCTTTCATGACCAAATGTGTTATCATCGTGGAATAATAACAATAATAAGTTAGTAGCCACTAAACCACCGCCATTTCAGCCTATGGGGAACATAACATTTCATAAATCAATCACGAATAATTCTGGAAAAAAATAGATCACAGTGACTAAGTTTTCACGTGACATAGCTTTCGGAATTAGAGTCCCAAAAGAGAAGACGGACGGAAGATCTTAAACGATGCAATTAATCCTGAACAAAAGTCATAGCTACCCAGATTTTGTGTGTGGAAACTCTTTCCTAATAATATGCTACAGCAGTGCAAGTTTTATGTTAATAGGTGTGTGGTAATGTAAGAGATGCCTCTGATATTTTTTAAGAACGGACGAACAGAAGGACAAAGTCAATTCTATCTTATCCCGTCTCTCGATGCAAAATTAATTAGAAAAAAATAAATAAAAAGTTAATGAAATTACAAAGAACGCAGTATAACAGTTTTGACTAGAAAATGTTATAGATCTGTTATTTAATTCCACATACTTTCAACATAATGTGAACGATGGATACGTTTTATACATTCTTTAACCCTGACATGATTCTTTTTAGAACAAATTAAATCAAATTTCATGCATGGACCTACATATCTATAGGCAACACCCATATTTATGATCGAAGTGGTATAAGGTACGTTTCAGGTGTACAATTATCAGTGACTTATAATTTGTTATTACATATCAACATGTTTAAGTACCTTTTATACAAAACGTTACAATATATATGGAACAGTTTTAATTGCAGCACATTTTATAAATTTATCCTACGAATGAAAATAAATAAACTTATGCTTAACTCCCTCGCAGGTGTGAAATCATTTCTCTTTTTCCAGCTGAATTCAGTCAGGGGTCAAAAATGTGTTTATGCCATAAAATTGTTAATTTTACTGTGCAACCCGTCTATAATAAACACTTCAGAAACCCAAACCGCCAAAGAAGTGAAATATTCACCTGTGTCAGTCAAGCGTAATGTCACCCTTGACTGCAGGTGAAGAAAGGTCTTCATCGAAAGTTGGGGATCTGTGTAGGGCAAACACTTATTCATCCGCTTAGCACATACTTTTTGGTATTATCCTTAATTTTGTTCATACCAGGACAGAAAGAGATTGGAACAGACTTTGGGTAAGGGATTGTTTGACGTTTATCTTTTGTTATAATATTCGAGCCGTGAGTGATTTATTTCTGAGAAGACTGTAATTTTATATTTAGCATATGCGTGTGTGCGTGCGCGCGCGTGTGTGTATGTGTAATTTAGACTTCCAACGTAGCTTTAACAATTTTTCGGTCATATCGCTACGATGTCTACAGTGTGACAGTTTATAGTGATGTCTAGCACTGGGGCATCATGCCGCAGAAATGTAGCATGATATCCCACCCAGTCACATTATCATGACATCAGGCCAACCAGTCATAACACTAACCTCTTAATGTTGAGCGTCAAGCAAGGAAGCTGTTAGTATCATTTTTAAAGTCTTTGGTATGACTCATTCGGGGTTCGAACCCGCAGTCTCCCGCATCCGAGGCGTACGCTCTAACCACTAGGCCACCAGAATGGTTAAATTCAGCATGTAAAACAATGCCAAGAAGAACTGGATTTGTTGTTGATAAAAAATATTTATTTATTGATCATTTTCATGACACATTGTAATGTAGTTAGCTCACAGAATTGGCAATATGTAATAATTTTATAATTTCAGGTAAGGGTAGGGACACGGATCTAAGTTTTTGTAGACTGGTATATTTCCATGAAGAAAAAAAAAGGTCACATGAATAAAAATATGAAAGAGAGCCTATCGTACTATTTATGACGTAAAGAATTCCGATTTAATCGTTGATCTTACTGACTGCTTAGAACTTTACCAAAGTTTTGTAAATTGATGAATTTATTACCTACACATAGACTGAGAAATGTTGGGGTAGAGAGACCACATAGTAGTATAAGCGAACAATTTAATGGTTAGAGGTAACTATAGAAACTTGCACCTTTCTATACACAGAACAATTACAAAACATTGCACGATATTAAAAAAAAATCGTGTTGATATTAATTGTACATGATATCGAGAAAAATTGTGTTAACATTAACTGTACACGATGTTTGAAAGAAATCGTGTTTACATTAACTGTAGTTTAAAATGTTATATATTTTTAATCACCACTGAGCTGTATGATACTTCCTTGTGATATTGATTGCTTGCAAAATGAAGTTAATTTTAGCACTGATAATGATTTTGTATTTTATTTTTTATTGGCAATAATTACGATGATACTACTAAAACTACTAAAGGGATAATCATCGTCATTATTGTAATACGACTTGTACTATTACTGCTATTTATTATTATTATTATTATTATTATTATTATTATTATTATTATTATTATTATTATTATTATTATTATTATTATTGTTGTTGTTGCTGCTGTTGCTCTTATTATTATTATTATTATTATTATTATTATTATTATTATTATTATTATTATTATTATTATTATTATTATTATTATTATTATTATTATTATTATTATTATTATTAAAAATGCGTTGTTTGCTTGAAATGGAAAGCAAGTTTTAAAAAAGAAAATGAACACTTGAGACATGATCACATTTAAAACCAGAGTTAGAGTTAGATGAGCTGTCTTTATTTTTGACAGTATGCTGACGACTGAGATTTTTTTCAGGAAATATTGAAGGTTTACAAAAGCTCAAGTATAATATGTATGCAATAATTGGAATCTAATTAATAATCTTGATAAAATCAAAGTTATGGTCTTTAGAAGAGGTGTTCCATTAAGACAATAGCAAGTATGAAATATATTCTGTGGTAATATTGAGGTAGTTGAAAATTTTAATTACCATGGTATTATTTTCTAGACCAATAGAAAAAGCTGTAAAGCTGAACAAACACTGGTTAATAAAGCACCAAACACAGTGTTTATGCATTTTGATATTTAAGTTGTTCCATTCTTAATTACTCATCACAAGAAGCCAGAGAGGTGACAACACTGAAGGTGTACAACGAAGCTTTTTTATTTTTTAAAAAAAATATTTGCTTATTTTAAATATCTATTTCTCAAGAGGGTGTATAAAGTGAAGTTGGAAGAATCTCACGCAAATACTCAAGATTAGTTAAGTTTGTTAAGTATTGGTCTAGAATTAAAAATTATGCGAATATTAAGCACTTCATATAGGCATAAAAATTAATCAGTTAATAGTATCAAATACACGCTTAAAAGATACCTTAAACAATTTGAATTTGTGAATTGTAAATGTTTCTTGACTTTGTAAATTGCCCCAAATTTATTCCAATTTATAAACAATGTATTACATGGGCTTTGTTTGTCAGACTTGAATAACAAACTACAAATTTATGACAAATTTTATCTACTTAAACATATAAACACTGACTACGATTTCCAAACTTTAATCCGAATACTTGTGTAGCTTTAAACAACGTTGGCAAAACTCAAAGTGTCTTCCCATACTCTGATAATGAAAAATGGAAGCAACAGAATCGACAGATGTGAAAGATATTGCATGCCTTGTGACAACCATGATGAGTATGATTTCGTTTTAGTGTGTCCTATATATACTTGCCGTTTGGAGTTTCGGTTTTATAGTTTTGCATATAGCATTTGATAGCCATATATATCAGTAATATGTATAATCTAAGCATATACATGTTAGTAAACTACTGAATTGAATTTGTCATATTGATTTGTATGTATTTTTGTCGTTACACAGGAAATATTTAAAAACATGGCACCCCTCCATCACAAATTGAAGGTCATATTATTGCTGGTAAGTACCCGTTTGGCTTAGCAAAAGGTGTGATAAAGCTTGACGGAGTTAGAGACAAAGTGGCGTTCTCATCACTATAACAGACATATAGAAAAGTCCGGCTGAAGGATTATAAGACACTTGGAGAGATTAAGCTTGACTATACATATATATATCGTCAGAAAATATCTTAAGTGATGTTATTGTAAGACGTCCCGCCTCATGAAAGTTGTCATGGTGGGGTGGGAATGAATCATGACGACAGAGAGGGAAAGAAGAAAATATTTTGCCAATAATCTTTTAGATATTAGAATAATGTCATTCAAATATTTCTGATGCATGGGGAATATTGTATCAGCATCGTTTACAAACGGGCTAGAACCCTGTTTCCTATAAATATTTGGGTCTTGCAATTCTCACTGCCTTTCATGTTTAAATGCTTTGATAATAGCCATAGATCAGAGCTTTGCAGCATGCACATCATATATGTTACCTCTTCAATGAAAACACTAATTTAATTATCAGTCTCTTGTTGGTGGAATACTAATGAACACACGATCCAATTATGATTTTCTAATTATTTTTCCTTATTTCAGATCATTTGGATGAGACGGTGCTATGCACAAGCAGAATCAGGTAAATGACAAATACGACCAATAAATGGTAACTTGGCAAGAGAATCAAAAAATGTTAAAAATTATGTCTATAAAATTAAGATAATTTACCGGCGAGCATATTGAAACAAATGGTAAATATAAATTAAGCGAAATGAATAAGCAACAATACGTAATTCAAAAATAGTTAAATGCATTTTACATTTGATCTAAGTTATTATCATGCTTTGCTTTAAGTAACACTGATACCGATCATATGATTGTTTTTATCTTCCTTCTCGCTCTTTCCCTTCTCCATTGGTAGGTTTGTCTATAAATGTTGCCATCAGTCATAGGTCCAGACACGTTATCGCATAACAAAAGAAAACGAAGTCTACTATGTTAAATTTTTCGTTGATTTTCGGAGAGAGAGAGAGAGAGAGAGAGAGAGAGAGAGAGAGAGAGAGAGAGAGAGAGAGAGAGAGAGAGAGAGAGAGAGAGAGAGAGAGAGAGAGAGAGAGAGAGAGAGAGAGAAGCAGGCTTTGGATAAGTAAATTAAATTCTTAGGATAAGGATATATATGAGAGACAAAGACAAAATGAAAATGAAAGAAAAAGAAACAACAGAGTATTCCTACACAAGAAAAAGATATTTTAGTAAACAGTAGTTCTCGCATAAGTTTTTAAGAAGGCATAACAATTAAAAAGATTTCAAAATCTGGATAAAGGATATCACTAGTGTATCATGTCATATAAACTTGTTAGTGCCATTTCTGATAAAAAAAAAATCAACTTTTTTTCTTCTAAGGACATGCGTATTGCTCTAGGGACTCGACAACAAGAACTTTACGCATGCGTCTCTACATTATCAGGGGGTCTGAAATGATCTACAGAGTATATCCAGTGACTTCTCAATTCATCGAATGGAATAATTCAACTTGCAAAATCGATATGTCATCCTCAACAGCAATAGAGTCAATTCACTATGTTAATATCGACACTCTGGCGTACACTAATGAGTGCGGAGCAGCGAAGGTATGTTCAGCGGGTTCAAAGCATTTATTATTTTTGTCATTCTGAATTACATGTTAAAATCTGGAGATGAAACACATCTTCAGCAAAGTATGAATCATGCAACATACTTCCTGTCATTGCGTAATGAGCCATGACTCCACTTCCGCCATAGGTTGGTTTCTACAAGAATCTTGCAGAAATTACACTAATTTTGCTTTTAATCTAATTTGATTAGAAATTCTACTATATAGCTCAAAATGTATAAATTTATGCGTTGAAACAGCAAATCTAGCATTGTAATTTTAAACATAACATTTTTCTTCGTCGAAGTTCAACGTAAAAATTGCTTAAATGATATTTCAAAATGAACCGAGGAATAAAATGCTTATGCAGATAGTGGCGTCGTCTGGAGAGCAGTTTGTAAGCCTGTTAGCTCTCAAGCTTAAACAGCATGATCTTCACATGAACTTGGTCATTACTCCGCGTATTCCTAGGGCTGAACTGTAAACTGGTCTGTTGCGAACCAAATCATTGCTCATATGGTAGTTTAACGGGTCTGGTAACTATTTGTAAAACTTCATAGAAATGTAAAGTACTTGGGAAAAGTAAATAAATTAATTCAACATGATGTAATTGTTATGATATAAGTATCTCGCCTCTGTATTTCAATCAATGTTATGAAGCATGCTTATTAGCTTTGCTCTTAGCTGAAGAGATCAGTAACAAGTTTCCGCTTATCCTAGCCATATGAGTAGTCTGCCCTTTGGTTTACTAGCTATACTTGTGCAATGAATGTCAAAGCTATTAATGAACTCTGGAAATTATATTATCACTAACAGGATTTAGTGTTCCATGTAAACATAACATTAATTTGGTTTATTTATAGGCTATATTATTTGAAGGTCGTAATTTATTATTGGTTTTGTACCAATGATTTTAAGTAGTAAAATAAGGAAGGAAGAAAGTAAATGAATAAATAACAAATAAAAGTAATGTAAATAAATAAAGATGAAAAATAAACTAATGTTAAAGACATGTTGCATTGCAGACAGCAGGCACGAATAGGTTCACATGGAGATTTAGGATCCGGAAGGACCCGAGTGAAATCTGGACCCACGCTGGTGACAAGATCTACCTCATCGAGTGCAACTACGATACAGCA